GCTCCTGGGAAAACGCAGACATGTTCTTGTATAAATATAAATCATACTGATGCAGGCTGCAGCTAAAAGTGCCCCAGTTCTGTTTTTGTTCCCCCATGCTGAACTGAATCATTTTTCAATTCAGTCTGGATCACACGGATATGTGCTACAATATCAGATAATTTGATCGCTCAAAAAGAAATTTGTAAGCGTTGCCATGACAGTAAGTGAATCTGCTTTCATTCATCTAAGAAAGCTATTACACTGGTAATATTAGCAGAGGTGGCTTTAGCAGGTGGTTCAGAAATAAATTTAGATCACGATTTTCTTGTTGGTTCACGAGATAATTGGAAACGAGACGTTGGAAAAGATCTGAGAAGGCTCGATACAAAATCGGATACGATGTCTTTTTGCCTTTGTTAATCATTTGAGTTTATAATAATAATATACTCTCTATGGGTTACATCCTGTAACAATTATGATTAGCTATTTTACCTCCTCTCAAAAACATCTCGTAGTACTTCACAGTCTTCCACTGGAACACATGTTTCTTTCACATGCGTATAAATACACACTCAGAGAAAAAGCATGGCTTTAGTATAGAGTTCTAGTTTAATTTAACACCTTATTTGATCTACCTAGTCTCAATGGAGCCTCCATTGATTTCTGCCTCTTAACATAAGTAATCAATAAGCCAGACTCTGAGCTGCAAGGCTTTCAATCCATATAAATATAAACGTGCATTTGTATTTGTGGGAAGTAAAGCAGGCGTAGAGAACGAGAACAAAGGTAATGGTATTGGGGGAATGAAAGCTTTAGGCGAGCTCGATGTGCTGTAAATAGTGGTTGAATGTGATCTTATCACTGCTAGGAAGTGTTTTTGGCAAATATGAGCCCAGAAGGAATAACCTCCCTCTGCAAAGAAGGCAACAACCTAAGGCATTACTCTTTGATATTTTGACATGCAATTTTCCATGCTGGAATTAAAATGTTCACAGACTGATGGGGGGCTCTGATAGACAACTGAGCCCATTAATCTGGTGTGACAGTACATTAATTTAGCAATCAATAGGTAAAGGAACAGAAATAAGAACACACTGTCTTTCTCCAGGGGGATGTTTCCCACAAAAAAGGCCCACCACGCTAAGACACTGTCATCCTCCGTGCACAAAACCGTTCTCACACTGCACGCCGGTAAGACCATTGCACTTTGATCAGGCAGCTGTGATCTCTGTAATTCTCACTGTGGTTTTTTTGTTGTTTTATTTTTTACTTTTTGCTGCCTCCACGTTTTCGGTGGGGAGTTAAATGGATTTTGACAGATGACATTTTTAATTTGGCAGAACAGGCCATTAAAGAATAATTAGATTAATACCAATGAACGTGGGCTCCATGTCAGCTAGAGACTACACCTATAAGGGGGGGGGACTGCACACAAGCAGCATGAAAATGACAAATAATAGATTTAGCTTGAAGTTTTACTGCCCCTTAGAGTACCACCGTGTTACTGCACCCACAAATGCAACGCTGTGAAATCACGTGTTGCATTTGTTTCAGGGTGCCTGTTTTTAGCCTGAAGGGGCGCATTCTTATCCGTTTCCAGATCTGGGAAGCGGTGTAATCTACCCCCCGACGAGAACAATTTAGCGCTGGACAAAGTAAACCTGTGTTTAGAGTGAGAAATATTTTGTTGAGTAAAACAGAACAGTCCAAATGTGTGGCAGCCCATTTGTCAGCAGTGCTTTGCAGGAATTGGAAAGCAACAACTGCAGTCATCGTCAGCTCGCTGTAAATGATGTTCTTCTGGGCTTCTTTCCCCCTCATGCAGAGTGGAGTGTGTGGGTGTGAGAAGGGTTACACTGAGGTGATGACCACTCACGGTTTCTTGGACTACTGCACCAGAACTCCGGGGGTGGACAACAATAAGAAAGCAGATGTGAAAACTAACTCTGGCAGATTAAAACCTGGGCCGTCTAAGGCCAAAGACCTCTACAACGAGTGGACCCTACGACCTGTCGGCCCAGGTACTGAAAGGAAAATCATGTGTGCAGACCAACCAGTACTGCTACACCCTTTGAACCTAACTTTGTTGCTCACCGGGACGGGGGAGGAATTTAGGTCCATGTTTTTACACGATTCATTATATATCACAAGAAAAACAATGTTCAATAGACTTTAAATGCCTAAAACTGTAGTCAGGACTAACCCTACTCATTTATTCTGAGCAGTGAGGAAAAAGTTCTAAAAGATATTCATAAAATAGATGTAGACTTGCATATATTTAAAACTTTCTATTAAAAACTGCTTTCTGATTGCACAGATGGAAGAGTAAAGCTGTGGGTTTACGCCGTGACTGCTGTTGGATTCATCTTAATACTCTTCATTATAGCGTTATCGTTCCTGGTCTGGTATGTACCGTTTTCTACTCGGTGTTCAGTCTCAGAAACAAAAGATTCATTGTGGTTTGTGCACATTCTGTATGAGAACAGAGAACATAAAGAAGGGAAAGCAAGTGTCTTTCCATGGACAGAACCCTGCCAAGTATGAGTTATAGTCTACTCTATACTTTGTCTGCTGTGTTGCTGTTATCAGATAATGGAATTCTTTGTAAGGACTGAAATCAAGTTGGGCTGCCTTGTGCTACTAAGCCACATGAACTCTTAGCTTTTCTTTCTTGTCTGTCCTTTTTTTTTTCAGTAAGCCATCCAAAACCACTAAGACGTCTCCCCCACCGCAGAAGCCCTTGACCCTGGCCTATGATGGTGACATGGATATGTAACCAGGCTGCTATACCTCACAAGGACACACTCGGGATCAGACAGCCTGCTGCCTGTGTTCAGATTGTTAGGAAGCACATCCGTCACTTACTGTTTGCTCGGTTTTTGCAATGTCTCAAATAGATCAGCGAATAGCAACGATCACACATGATTTGCTGCTGAAGGGTAACAAATCTCGCTAGAGCCACTCGCTTCCTCAAAGAAGAGGAGCCAGAGCTGATCAAAGTGAAAAAATGAGACATGGACCTCTAGTTTCTTTTCTGTTTTTTTAATGCTTGCAACATGAACACACAGTTGAAGCACTATTTAAAACCTGCGAAAGAAGATGAATGCACAGCTGTTGATCTTGGAGGGGGGTTTTTTTGTTTTCTTTTTTGTGCGTGTCAAGAATCCGAGGGACATCCTGGTTGACTCGTGATATTCAAAGACCCACACAGGTGGGAGTATTTGACTTTGTCTCATCAGTGGTGGATCTTTGTGAAAGAAAACGTCTCAAGCCTTTTGAGTAAACTAAACAGCCTTTTTTTGAATTTTCGACAATAAACACGATGGTCTATGCACTACGTTAGTGCTGATTCCGTTTTCCTTTCCGATGACTTTTCTAGTGTTTTAATTGTAATGCAAGTTTTTGCTGTCAGATTGTGTTTTGTTGATGATGCCATATGTTGTGTATATGTGAAAACCAAATGCAGGCTTGCCTTGAGTTTAACGATACAATGATGCAGTAATTTCTCCTCCCTAATTCTCCCTGGATTCTCGACCACTGAGGACAAAATTGAGTAAGTAAGTCAGAGCGGAGTAATCTGTACAAAACCAAAAAATGTCCGAGTATTTTGGTGACGAGTGCAGTATCGCACATAATGCAAATTACAGTATGTAATACCAGTATGATAAAGACCATACCTCATATGCAGTGCTTAAAGGTTATTAGACCACCTGCCATTAAAAGAATAATAAGAATAAATAAGTATTTATTAGGCAAATATAAACAGGATTCATATTTTTAGATTAAAAAAATCAGAAATTAATGAAGAATAATAGACAACCACTAAAACGAATTTCTCTGTTCAGGAACACAAGGAAATAACTGTAATTTGACATTTTTATCAAAAAATAACAAGCAGTTTGGGCTCTTTTTTATTGGGGTTTTTTTAAACTAAATGTGAAAATTCGTGGATATCAATGATAGTTATTTGTCAGCATATAACAAGTTTGCGCATACAGGTCGATTTAACTGTTACAGAAACATAAAATATTATTCTGGTAATTACCGTTACTGTTTAATTAAGCCAGTTGTGGTATGAACCTTTCTATGGGTTGTGGTCTAATTAATGTGTTAAGCACTGTACACTTTTTCACTAAATGCAAAGCAAGAAAGGACTAAGCATCAAAGATACCGGAGCATAGAGAGGACAAATTATCCACTGGATTACACACAGTGCTTTAACAGAGCAGATGCGCTTTATTTATTTAAAAATTGTCATATTTTAGTGCTTTATTTTACAAATCCAATACATCCAAATACAAGGTCTTTTTTTGTTGTTGTTATTTTTGTACCATGAGTACAGGGCTGAAGACATAAAAGATAGCAAATACCAAATATTTATGAGCACATCATTTAATAATCCAGCAGCTTCTTATCTTATTTTCTTATTCTAGTCTTATTTTCTAGCCCTGCCTTTTTTTAAATATATATATTTCCACTCATAGCATCTTGGTAGATTCGAGACATTTCACCTTCCTTTTGTGCAATATTCACACAGCCCAGTGGAGAATGAAGTTCCTGGTATTGGCTAATTTTGACTCTGATCAGAGTTTATGCTGTTTCTCGTTCTGCCAAGACTAACTGGAGATTTGGTCTTGTGTTGTCCGACCTCCTCCTGAATGTATTTTATCGGGAACTCTTTAATCTTAACGGTTGTGCAAATACGGTTGTTACGTGACTGTATTCCAACAGCTGATTGTACGTAGGCATGCTAGATCCATTTTGGCAGAACGTTCTCCAAGTGCCCTTTGCAAAGATTCTGTTTTACAATTTACCTAACATTTCAGAATCGTTTAATTTAGATAGTGTTTCTAATATTTGGCCGATAAAGTGACACAAAGGAACATGTGGAAAATGATGACATGGATAACGAATAAAAGTAAAGTGAAACCCCTTTCTGAAAACATGACATACTAATTATTTACTGTATTTAAAAGAAAAAAACAGCCTGATTTGATGAGACATCTCTCTGGTTGTGTCCCAAAAAACTAAAAGTATGTTCACCCATTGTTTACAGCATCATGCTGCTTGTGTTTTTATTGTGTGTACATGGAGAGCTGGACAAAAATGCAAATAAATTGTGAAACCATGTGAAATCAGTGCACTGCTTTCTTTCCTCTTTGGCGCACCTTTTTAAATATTTTTTTGAGGGATGCTTTTGTTCTCCTGTGATCTCCATCGGCTCTTTGACTTTCGAGTCCTGATAAATTCTAATTACTGATACAGGCTCAGAGGCAAAGCCTAGAATAGATAAGCTGCTGATAAGATTCATCTTGCCCTCCAGTCAGATTCCCAGTCTGATAGTCCCGCAGGATGCACGCAGGTTTGCGAAGGAAACAGTGTTGAAATCTTTTGTCTCATCTAATTCATTTATTTAAGACTGTCACTTTTGTTTAGGAGAAGGTTGAATTCAAATGCTTGTGTCACGGCCATCTGATCTGTGGCAAAGATGTGGGCCGATCTTGTCATGTTCTATTCATCTCATTTTAGTAGCTTTCAAGACATATTTGCAGATTTCAGTGGATGCTTGTGAGCGGAATGAAAATGGCTAGTTTAATTAATTTTATTTGTCTTATCATATGAAAGCTGGCTGATTCTAATAAAATGCTGTATCCCGCAGTTTGTCAGGGCAGAGCAGCGCTTAGTGAATGTTTAGCATCATCAGTGCTTAATGCTTTAAAATAATGACCATGATAATGCTTATTATCATTTATTACTAATGTATTATGTGTGAATCTGCAGCCCAGAGGAGTGAAGCAGTTCTTAGAGATATCTAGTTTCTGATATGTTCAGCCTCTCTAAAATAAGTCTGTTAATGTTTTTTCCAGGAAAAAAAAGTCTTTTTAGGATTTTCCCAGCAGACATTGAAACAAAAAGCCAGTTGCATTCAGATCGTGTCCATTACAGGTCTCTTGACCACCAGTATTCCCCATGCCTTTAGGATAATCCCATCAAGGTTTATATCAGGATCAGGATGTAATTGCATGAGACTCCTCTACAGTCAGTTTTAATCACCAGTGCTGCTGAAGCTGATAAATTATGACATTTCTTGAAGACTTAATACAAGGGCAGCTATCTTTGACTTCACTAAGTTATTCAGTTTGTAAGTTTGGGGGTTGGGGATGTTGGAGCTAGTCCAAAACTACTACTGCCTGATTCAGCTGTTTCACTGAAACTAACAATTAGTCTCTTACATTGTATAGATTTGTCCCGAGTGTGTTTTCAACCATGCTTTAACGTAGTGGCAGCAGAAAGCTAATGTTTTCACTTAACCCATGAAGATGTACCACTCCGTGTCCATCTACCTGCTACACTATGCTTTAGAACAGGAGTTATCAACATCACCTATGAACATTATCTGGATGCTCATTGTAAAGTTGCAACTGTGTAATAAACCAACTGTTTATTGATTAGTAAACATCCACCCATCTATCTGTTTTCTTCCACATATCCAACTCAGGGTCAGTGTTAGGCTGGATCTCAGCTGTTGTGCCTCCCAAATAATTATTAACTGAAGGTAAATTGACAATTGATTAACCATTTATTAACGATGGCTATATTAAAGTGTACCCCTATGTTGTAGTGTGGTGTTTAATGTCAAAGCAAATGATTCAATGAACAACCAAGTAAAAAGTTTCTCTACATTCCCCTAACTCAAAAGTGCATTTTATCCAGTACTTTGACTTATAACTAAGTGAATGGCAAACTAAAGATTTCTTCTTTTTAGAGCCAATATATAAATCCTTGCACGTTAACACATTCAAGTGAAATGGAGAACACAAAAATGTCAGTGTTGTCATTGCAAACATGCTATTGCTGACATTGCTATTTAGCTCAAAGGACCATTAAAGCTAGATTGAAGAGATTACAATGACCTGGCATCGCATGCTTCTGATAGTGTGGTGGTTAACACGTTCACTTGGCGAGTGAAAGGTTGAGTCCTGCCAGAGAAACAAATTCCCTTTGGGGTTGGAAGGGCATCCAGCTTTCAGCGTAAAACCCTGCCAGATCAAAAATGTGGAGCTACCTGCTGTGGTAACCCCTTCTTGCAAGGGAGCAGCTGAAAGAAGCTTTTATCACAGAGCACAAAATGCACAATAGTGTGTATGTGTGTATTCCTGGGGCTTCTAGGGATAGAAAGGCAAAGAAAGTGAGACAGACTAATAAATATATGGTGCTGAATTTGACAGTTAGGCAGGCTGGGTATCTAATTAATCAAGAAGGAGAAGAGAAGGACTTCATGCCAGTCCACCCACTAATTTTCTGACTTCCATTTTTGGTGATTGCATGAGCCAGCACACTGAGATCTTAGAGTGCAAAGTTGGAACACGGAGAACTGTGAGGTCAAAAAGATGAGCTGGTGCAAGCTTATGCAATTAATAAAAATCCTGGTTGCCACATGGAGTCTATGAAATAAGGACAAATTGTTGTTAACAGGTCAGTGCTTTTCATTTTCATCTAACAGCATTATTTAGTTCAAGATGAAATTTTAATCTTCCACAATGTTTTAAAAAAAATAAAAACAGGATGCAAGACTTTCTTTTATGCTGCACTGGAAAAATGATGAAGTACTGATTTAAATTCACCTCAGTCAGTGTTTAGAGGTAAATGATGTCAAGTAAACCCAGTGAAATGCAATGATTTCTTGGGACATTTGCAAACTGAGACACACAACCCAACAGAGTGATTAGGCTATGTGTGTCGGTAGGTGAAGGCACGATGCTCTCTGAGGAGCCAAGGTTGTAAAATATCACTG